CACACACACACACACACACACACACACACACACACACACACACACACACACACACAAACACACACACAAAGATGCATGCACGGACACACAAGCAACATGCACACACAAGATGTACGCCTCTCCACTGATTTTGAGTGGAGAGAGAAAAAAAAAAGCACGAAATGGAGTTCAACAATCCACCACTCCTGACCTGTAACCGCGCTATTTCCTTTTCATTTAAATTACTGTTAAACTACTTGCATTCATTTATTATGTTATATAAACCGGCATAATACAATCCATGTTCCTCGTTCCCACTGGGGGAGAGAGAAGAAAACATAAGCACTGGGCCAGCGGTCCCATTCCCAGGACCAATGCTTGGGACTTCATATTGAGTGACCAGCAAACCAACAATTTGCAAATTCCTGTCACAGATCCAGGTAAGAACAAACTGATATCCTGAGGGCATCATCGCGCTAGCACTTTCCTCAAAGCATCCGACTTTGACAGCAATTACAGCCACACCTGGATGCATCTGGCTGCAATCATGTCCAGAGCTGAGTCAAAGAGCTCCTAGTGTGAATATGCCCTGAGACCCTTGTTCGCCTTCACAACTTTTACGAACTAACACAAAGAACATACAAACTGTGAGTGGAAGCCATAAAAAGTAATTCTTCACATCTTGCAACAGACAGCTCTGGACGAAAACAGTTCTTGCATAAAAAGTACTAAAGACCTGCTCTGTAACATGGTATCTGTCGTACCTTACATATACACACAGCCGGTAAAAAATTGTCCTTTGCAACTGTCCCTAAGTTCCTATAACTTCCTGTAAATTTCAGTTACTGACCATCACTGGTCGTAGCTCGCTGCTGTAACTGGCCGTAACTGGCTGTAACTGGCTGTAACTGGCTGTAACTGGCCGTAACTGACCGTAACTGGCCGTAACTGGCCGTAGCTGGCCGTAGCTGGCCGTAACTGGCCGTAACTGGCTATAACTGGCCGTAACTGGCCTGGCTGTAACTGGCCATAACTGGCCTGGCTGTAACTGGCCGTAACTGGCCGTAACTG